CTGACTGTAAACATTCTAAATAATAGCGGAAATGAAATATTTAGTCAAAAATATGAGAGCTGTACTGAAAGAAGGGAATTGCAGACATTAAATTTATCAGAACCTATCGAATTAGATTCAAATAAGTATTTTACTATCATTTTAGTTGGTTTAAAGTTTCAAGCGCACTATGGGACAAAATGCAAACCAGAATACAAAATAGATGATATAATTGTAACATTTCATAATTCACCGAACTGTAATACTACTACAAAGGTAGAACAAGGCCAAATTGCAGGAATAGAATTCAATGTATAACATTTATATTCAAAATTATATTCTCAATATACAAGTATGTGTTGACGGTTAAACCTTCATTATTTTACTTTACTTCGTGGAACGATGCCGGTTTCATGACAAGAACCTAATGTACTCAGGATAAAATAGTTTAATGAATCATTATATTTTCAACTTGCATTTGCAATGTTGATATGAATTCGTATTGTTTTTAGATTTTTTTCAAACCTATACTTTCATACCGTTATGTGTTGACAATACACTTGCAATTCATCCAGACATGTATTCATATAACGTTATGAGTTGACATACATTTGCAATTCAGACATATATTCATATAACGTTGTCATGGTTATGAGTAGACATGTATTCCTATAACATTATGAGTAGACATGTATTCATATAACTTTATGAGTAGACATGTATTCATATAACGTTATGAGTAGACTTGTATTCATGTAACGTTATAAGTTGACATACATTTACAATTAAGCCATGTATTCATATAACATGTATTCATATAACATGTATTCCTATAACGTTATGAGATGACATACATTTGCAATGGAGATATGTTTTCATATAAGGTTAATAAGGATTCTCTTCACGTAATTGGTTATATGGTCTTATATGTTTCATACAGAATTCTTCGTCCTAAATAATACCACAGCTTACATCGTATTCATATAACATTATGAGACAGCATAATCATTAATGTGTTGTTTGTTATACACAAGTACTTAAAAGATTCTTAGATTTGTATATAGACATAACTAATTTTTACCATATTTAGCAAAACGTCGGTTTGTGACCTTGTTCGACGTTTTTTTTTAATTAAATCATGACAATTCGGTTGTACGTGTGATAATTCTTATTATATGATTTGCTTATCAACAAATACTTGAATTTGATTGGTCCGTTAAAGTTTCTTTCCTAGGTTTACACTTTGATAAACTATGTTGGTGAAACTACTTACGATGCCTTGTAAAGAAAGTTAAAACCAAAAGAAATAATAAATAACGTTCCGATTTAGAATTATAAGGACAGCTTATTTATTTATTTACCATAAGACAATAGGTAATCATGAAGCACAAAATACCAAAGGGTTGTAATGTATGTGAATAGAACAAGGAGAATTGTCATCGATCAACAATATTTATAGAAACAGGATGTGCAGTAGAGTTTATAGTATTTTATTATCAACTAGTGTGTCAATAATTTCCATGTATTATATGATTTTCTACTGTATAATCTTATAGTATGTTTCACAAGGTTATTTTACTTCCATTGTGCTATAAATAACTCCATCAGTATTAAATAACTTATCTACTTTCGGTTTCGATTTGTTGACATTAATACTGTCGAAATTTATGTTATTGTGTTTTCATTTTCACGGTGATTGTTATTGTTTTTGTCTTCGTAGACGAGAGTTAAACTCAAAGTTAATACAAATACACTTTCAATGCAAATGAATACATCTGCATAAGGTTGCAATGTTTATTAGGGCACATTTCCAATAAATGGTAACCTCGCAGTCTGGAGTTTCAAGTGTTAATTTAACAGATAATCCACGGAGACAAGTCATTTTTCCTTAATTTAAACCTGTCGTTCAGTTAATCGCACATGGGTCTGCTGATCTTGTTATATTGTATACCAAGTATTTTAAAGTTTATTGAGAGAATTGTATGAAGAGATTATAAATTAGAATACAAATAATGCCTTTACCTGTTTTTCAAAGAGAGGCGAAAGATACCAAAGGAACATTCAAACTCATACGACGGAAATAAACTGACAACGCCATGGCTAAAATAGAATAAGACAAACAGACAAACAACAGTACATAAAACACAACACAGAAAATTAAGACTGAGCAACACGAACCATCAGCAAACACTGGGGTGAACTCAGGTACTCTGCAAGGGTCAGCAGATCCTGCTCCACATGTGACACCCGTCGTGTTGTTAGTATTCCTATATTATTCCTGATACAACAGTAGTTTACCGAATCGTTTAAAACTCGCATTATCATGGTTAGTGTTCTACGATAGGGATTAAGTGTTTTCCATCGAAAATCAAAAGTATACTTTATTTGATTTCAAAAGTTTTTTTTACCACTGACGTACGGATTCCAACATGTAATAATAATTAAATTCATCAACTCAAACAACAGTATTTGGTATATATTCTTTCTATTTATTTTGCGTGTTTAAAAAATATTTTCTCATATTTAGTGTAATATCTTATACCATTCATGCCAAATTTGTGACAAGAAATTAAATAAAGAACAACAATTTATGACTACACAGGCAAATGTTCTTCTTTTGAAGTTCATGTGAATGTGAATTTCACGTAAAACATTTCATGCGATCGACCTTGAACTTTCACGTAAAACTAACGAGATAGAGTTTTAAGTAAAATTCACAGGAACAAAATTTGCCTATAAATAACATTATATAAATCAGCTGAAATTAATTCTTAACACAAGGTACAGAATATGACTATATGTATATGTCAATGTTTTAAATATTGGATGGCAGTTTCAATGACTTTTATTTAAAGAAACATGTTTTACTCTGACTGTGAAATGATGTGTTACGGATGTTCCACACTCTTTTTGCCCGCCAACCTCTACTTATCTTTTCATTAATAACATATAGCCTAAAAAGCCATTTTTGAAAATCATATAAAATCCTTGTTAATTTTTCATTGTGTTTGAGAGAATAAAGTCACAATGGTAAAATGCACGAAAAATCTAGAAAGAATCAATCCCGCCAAATTTTCAATTGATTATATCTCAAAAACCTGGATATGGACCTTTCATTTTTTTCTGCTTTTTAAAATTCTTTAAGGATATTCGCTACTTTGTTTCAAAATAACAAGCTTATTAAAATACTGTCATAAATTGATACTGTATAAAGGAACTAAAAAAGCAGAAAAAAATTAAGGGTCCGTGTCCTTGTTTTCGAGATATAAGCCATTGAAAATTTGGCGGGAAATGATTCTCTCTAGACTTTTCTTTCATTTAAGATTGGCACATTTTTCTTTCGAAAACTATGAAAAAATAACAAGGATTTTACAGGATTTTCAAATATGATTTTTTAAACTATATGTAATAAAATTATCAATAGAAAAGCAGGGATTAGCCGATAAAACCAGAGGATTTCGAATATCTGTCAAAAATCCAAAAACAAGAGAAGCGAATATCCTTAAAGTTGTTAATATACTATAAGTTTATAACATGCTTTTTAAAAAGTTTGTTATTTTGAAATAGAGGAGCGAACATCCTTAAGTACTAATTTCAACTGATTAATTTTATCAAAAGTAAAAAGGTTTTTATGTAACATTGGCATTCCCTGTGTTTAGTTTTCCCGTTTCCCTTTATATTTGACATTACAAGGAGAATAGTTCTCCTTTTTGGCAAATTATAATGTGTAAAAGGTCTATAAGGTCAATTATGTCGAATTCAAAAGTTTTATGACATCATTTTGACATTAAGTTTGCATTGTTTTAATAATATACTGGTTTATTTTTTTCCTATTTTTCTATTTTTACTCCATTTATATATTACATATATATATATATATATCTAAATAGGCGATTAAGGGTGTAGGTAGGGGTGATTTCTCATTCAATGACAGAAGTGTTTTTTTTTCTCGTCAAGGAATGAGGAATCACTAAATACCAGTATGTCTTTGGAAATTTATTTGGAAAAATTGACGCAACTTGCCGTTATGGAAAAAGGAAAAACTACAATCAATCCTTACTTAAGGATTCTTTATTTGCTACATTAATCGTGGGAGACGTCCTTACATTGGTAGCATTTAACTAGCACATGTCTTGTTTTATGTTTCTAAATATTCTTTTTTTTATAAGTATATCACAGACGACACAAAGGTGAACAACCAGATATATAAAATTTCTAAACAATTTTATGATACCTATCAATTAATAATGTACATTTCATTAGGAACTATCATTTGCCTTTTTCTCATTTTCCTATTACATGTACCTTCTGTTATGTGTTTTTTTTCTCTCTCTACATCTAAATACTTTATTGTAACACAGTCAACCATGTTCGTCAAAGTTTCATATAATTACTCGCCAAAACGTAATACTAAAAATAAATTAAGGACTGAAAGTATATATACATAATATTTATGTTATATGAATTTAAGGCGCAATTACTACATAAGTAATCCGCCTACCAAAACCAATAACAAAAAAAAAATTGACATTAGTACTGCCAGTTTACCAATAAAAATTCAAAATTATATCAAGCTATTCGTTATCTATGAATTTAACATACATTGAGAGGGATTGTGTGGATGAATTATTGTGTGTTCTTATTGTGTGGATGAATTACTGTGTGTTCTAATTGTGTGGATGAATTACTGTGTGTTCTAATGGATGTATTACTGTGTGTCCTAATTGTGTGGATGAATTACTGTGTGTCCTAATTGTGTGGATGAATTACTGTGTGTTCTAATTGTGTGGATGAATTACTGTTTGTTCTTATTGTGTGTATATATTACTGTGTGTCCTAATTGTGTGGATGAATTACTGTGTGTTCTTATTGCGTGGATGAATTACTGTGTGTCCTAATTGTGTGGATGAACTACTTTTGCATTGTTTCGTGCCAGACAACGAATGGCCAATCATTCATCTTCCTGCAATACTTGTTATTTAGATGTACACGTAATTCTTATAACTTACATTTGTTCCTAGATGGCCCAACCTGGAGATCCAGTGGACTGGCAGGATGGCCAATCACTATCAGAATGCATGATATATATGTTAGAGAAGGAAATTATGTGTGACGTCACTTTCCGTGTTGGAACAGAACAAAGTATTATCAAAGCGCACAAGTACATGCTGGCAAGTCGGAGTCCAGTTTTCTATACTATGTTTGAAGGTTCTTGTCCTGAAAAGGGAGAAATCATTGTACCAGATATTAATCCAGATATATTTAAAGCTTTATTAAAGTAAGATATTGATGAGAAATTCTGCCTTTATGCATATTTTTTTCTTCTTACAAACACAAGTGGAATACTTTTATTATTTTATTTTAATATGTTCTCTTTCATTTATTTTTGTGGTTAACAGTACTAGTACATGTAGTACTCGTAAATTTCATAACTGATATGGCCTCCTTTGATTCATTGGTGAGTCTTGTATAGACAAAATGTTGGTCTAAATTATTACTCTGATTGCTTTGACATGTTTGATGAGTATTCACATTACATTTAATTTTAATCCTGGTATCGATCATGTGTTTGTTAAAATGAATACAACGATTGAGACAACTATCGAATGAAGTGGATGTAAGCAGTTATAGACAACCGTCCGGCCTTCAACAATGAGAAAAAACCCATAACGTATAGTCAGCTATTAAAGACCACGACATGAAAAATATGAAGCTATTCAATTGGGAAAACTATAACCGCCTAATTTATAACAGGTATAACAGACAAGAACCAACAACAACCACCGAACTACTGGCTCCTTACTTGGGATTCGCACATACAGAATGTGGTTGGGTTAAACATGTTTGTGAGCGCTCAACCATCCCCTTAGCTTGGGACAGTGGTGTTACTATTGTTTACTTTATTCTAAAAAATATTATAACTTTTTTTTATTGTTATTTAACTATGATTTATATATTTTTTTTATCTTTTACTACCAGATGTATTTACTCAGATAAACTGGAAGTTGCTCTTGAAAATATTTCCGAAGCCCTTTACGTTGCCGAAAAATATATGGTTTCTACGATGAAAAAGGAATGTACAAGCCTGCTATCATCCTCTGCTGAAACATCAAATGCTCCAGTGGTATTTAACATTGCGTCTCATTTTCATCTCGAGTCTCTAAAAGCCAAGAGCCTCATGCATATTCAGAACAATGCAGTGGAATGTCTGACAGCCCCAAATGCTATGAAAATTTCGAAAGAAAATATTGAAGCGATTCTGAAATTGGATTCCATGTCTTGTTCCGAAACGAATACGTGCCGATTTCTTATAATGTGGTTAAGTCATCAATGTGAGGTACAGGGGAAAACAGCGTCTGGTGAAAACATGCGAGAAGTAATTGGCTCACTGCTGTATTTGGTCCGGTTTCCTTTTGTTAACAAAGTATATTTTGCAAAAGAGATAGCTCATTCTGGATTGCTGACTTGGGAAGAAGTAGTGAGTGTGTTTTCTTCCCACTATGGTCGGAAGAATGAATTTTTCACAGGGTCGGTCAGACATTCAAGAGTATTCAACCAGCATTACACTGTTCTCCGACATAGAAATATTCTAAGAGATTGGACTCCATACACGGATGTTATAAATTATGATGCTTTGCAGATTAAGGTTAATAAGAATATTGAGCTGAAATCAGTGATATTATATGGTCCAGATGGCGATGTATCTAGCTCTGACGAAAACCTGACTGTAAACATTCTAAATAATAGCGGAAATGAAATATTTAGTCAAAAATATGAGAGCTGTACTGAAAGAAGGGAATTGCAGACATTAAATTTATCAGAACCTATCGAATTAGATTCAAATAAGTATTTTACTATCATTTTAGTTGGTTTAAAGTTTCAAGCGCACTATGGGACAAAATGCAAACCAGAATACAAAATAGATGATATAATTGTAACATTTCATAATTCACCGAACTGTAATACTACTACAAAGGTAGAACAAGGCCAAATTGCAGGAATAGAATTCAATGTATAACATTTATATTCAAAATTATATTCTCAATATACAAGTATGTGTTGACGGTTAAACCTTCATTATTTTACTTTACTTCGTGGAACGATGCCGGTTTCATGACAAGAACCTAATGTACTCAGGATAAAATAGTTTAATGAATCATTATATTTTCAACTTGCATTTGCAATGTTGATATGAATTCGTATTGTTTTTAGATTTTTTTCAAACCTATACTTTCATACCGTTATGTGTTGACAATACACTTGCAATTCATCCAGACATGTATTCATATAACGTTATGAGTTGACATACATTTGCAATTCAGACATATATTCATATAACGTTGTCATGGTTATGAGTAGACATGTATTCCTATAACATTATGAGTAGACATGTATTCATATAACTTTATGAGTAGACATGTATTCATATAACGTTATGAGTAGACTTGTATTCATGTAACGTTATAAGTTGACATACATTTACAATTAAGCCATGTATTCATATAACATGTATTCATATAACATGTATTCCTATAACGTTATGAGATGACATACATTTGCAATGGAGATATGTTTTCATATAAGGTTAATAAGGATTCTCTTCACGTAATTGGTTATATGGTCTTATATGTTTCATACAGAATTCTTCGTCCTAAATAATACCACAGCTTACATCGTATTCATATAACATTATGAGACAGCATAATCATTAATGTGTTGTTTGTTATACACAAGTACTTAAAAGATTCTTAGATTTGTATATAGACATAACTAATTTTTACCATATTTAGCAAAACGTCGGTTTGTGACCTTGTTCGACGTTTTTTTTTAATTAAATCATGACAATTCGGTTGTACGTGTGATAATTCTTATTATATGATTTGCTTATCAACAAATACTTGAATTTGATTGGTCCGTTAAAGTTTCTTTCCTAGGTTTACACTTTGATAAACTATGTTGGTGAAACTACTTACGATGCCTTGTAAAGAAAGTTAAAACCAAAAGAAATAATAAATAACGTTCCGATTTAGAATTATAAGGATTAAGGGGGTACCAAACACTTAATGGGAGTTAACTCTTTAAAAATCAGCTGAACGTTTTAATCATATACTAATAGTAAAGTTCTCAATGATCAAAATTAGTGTTTGTCAAACTGCTATAATCCAATGAAATTATTCCTGTAAATTGTTTGGTTCAAATTTCTTGAAATTTTTATATTTCTATCAACAGGTCCAAGTAAATATTTTTTCAAAATTTTATGAAAATTAAAAGAGCCAAATCTATCTTAGTGAAAGTGTTGGGTACCCAGGGGCGGATCCAGAACCTCGATGTCTGGGGGGGGGGGGGGGGGGGGGGCACCACGAAACCAAAATTAAAAGATTTTTTTTATATATGCATATGTGCGAGTTTGGGTGGTGTTGGTGTCATGTATTGGGGATGATGGTGGTCGTTTTGGGGATGGGGTAGGGGCTCGGGTCTTCATTTTTATATCTTTTCATTATTTTTGGGTCAATTTCTTTCTATTCTTTTATTTGCTGCCAATTGTCCTCTATTCTTTACAGTTTACAAATTACTACATAGTTACAACTTACATCCGTCATTGTACCCCGTTATATACAACTAATGTCACTGTCACATATCATATTTGTCATTCTACCCCGTAAAATACAACTTACTACACCGCCACATCTTACATCTATCATTGTACCCCTTTTATATACAGAGTATCACACCGCCACATCTAACATCCATCCTTGTACCCCTATATATACAGAGTATCACACCGCCACATCTAACATCTATCATTGTACCCCTTTATATACAGAGTATCACACCGCCACATCTAACATCTATCCTTGTACCCCTTTATATAGAGAGTATCACACAGCCACATCTAACATCCATCCTTGTACGCCTTTATAAACAGAGTATCACACCGCCACATCTAACATCCATCCTTGTACACTTTTATATACATAGTATCACACCGCCACATCTTACATCCATCCTTTTACTACTCTATATACAGATTATCATTCCGCCACATCTAACAAATATATCCTTGTATCCTTTATATACAGAGTGTCACACCGCCACATCTAACATATATCCTTGAACCCCTTTATATACAGAGTATCACACCACAACATCTAACATCCATCCTTGTACCAATTTTTATACAGAGTATCATACCGCCGCATCCAATATCTATCCTTGTACCCCTTTATACACAGAGTATCACACCGCCACATCTTACATCCATCCTTTTACCACTCTATATACAGATTATCATACCGCCACATCTAACATCTATCCTTGTATCCTTTATATACAGAGTGTCACACCGCCACATCTAACATATATCCTTGAACCCCTTTATATACAGAGTATCACACCACAACATCTAACATCCATCCTTGTACCCCTATATATACAGAGTATCACACCGCCACATCTAACATCTATCATTGTACCCCTTTATATACAGAGTATCACACCGCCACATCTTACATTCATCCTTTTACCACTCTATATACAGATTATCATACCGCCACATCTAACATCTATCCTTGTATCCTTTATATACAGAGTGTCACACCGCCACATCTAACATATATCCTTGAACCCCTTTATATACAGAGTATCATACCGTACAAAATTGTACAAATTATAATTTGTATTTTGACTTTGTACAAATTGTAATTTGTACAAAAAGTGCGTGTTCAAATTACAATTTGGACAAAATTTGGCTCAAATTCACTTATAACTTGTACAATAATTTATAGTATGGATTTTGTTATAAAAAAGCATTAATACACACTATAGAATTTTTCATCAATGATCACGAAATAAACCTTATTTACAAAATACAAAAATGTTCTTTATCATTTGTTTGAGCATGTGAGTGAATTATGGCATCGAGAATTGCACAACATCTTTTGCTTTTTTCATTTACATTTAGAAGTGCTGCACCCCCTTTGCATTTATTCATGAAAGAAACCCCTGACCACCAGTTTTTGAAAGTTTTTTTACTGCTTCACGTAGCGAAAGTTGAAGCTCAGGTGCCGTTGCTGCGAATAAAGATGTGTCTTTAACAGCTTCAATTTGGTTTCTCGACAAATATCATGTTAACATTTTTACAGCTGTTCCAATGCGGTACCCAAATTCTCCAGATTCAATAATTACACCTAAGATATTTCGAGGATTAGTTGGGGCACGATCATACTGAGGAATTGGTATAATGGCATTATCCCCCACAGCAATTAAGTTCTGATAATTTCCGTTTCGTTTTCTTGGTTAGATATTCAGCTTGGATCTGTTGGCCAGACAGCGCACGCTTCCTGGCATGTATAATTGGTTTTTCAACGTCAGTGTCATCCGAATGGTCACTTGGGCCAATTTCTATTATACTATCAGAATTGTCACCGGGGGTAATTTCTATTACACTATCTGAATTGTCACTGGTGCCAATTTCTATTATATTATCAGAATTGTCACTAGGGCCAATTTCTATTATACTATCAGAATTGTCACTGGGGCCAATTTCTATTATACTATCAGAATTGTCACTGGGGCCAATTTTTATTATTTTATCAGAATTATCACCGGAGCCAATTTCTATTGTACTATCAGAATTAACTGGCATGCATGTATCAATTACATTTTGGGTATTTTTGTATTTTGTAAACAAGGTGTATTGTGTGGTCATTGATTAACAATTCTATAGTGTATATCAATGCTTTTTTTTATAACAAAATCCATACTATAAATTATTGTACAAGTTATAAGTGAATTTTAGTCAAATTTTGTACAAATTGTAATTTGTACAAGCACTTTTTGTACAAATTACAATTTGCACGAAGTCAAAATACACAAATTATAATTTGTACAAAATGATAACTTGTACACAACATATACATAAATAAAACCAGTGACGAGTCCCATAATTAGGATGAATCTTTGATGTGAATAAAACATATCGCTTTAGCGAAATTTCATATAGGTTGAGATGGATGAAAGTGATTCTGACAGAAATTTCAATCTTCAAGAAAAATATGAATTGAAACACGATGTTTTAGTCTGATAACGACATTGTTTATTTCTTAAGAACAATAAGCCCTTAAAGTGAAGAGTTTGCAAATACAGCTTCATTTGATTTCATAAAACGTTATGAATAAACTTTTGATTCCGACCAACACCTTTCTAAAGGCCTGTGTATTTATAATTTTTTAAAGTGCAATAAAATCAAAACAAAACAAAATACTGGATAAAAGAAGATGCCAATTTTGTGCATGCATATAACAAAAGGAAGCATCATTCACAGCAATAATATTCAATTGTTTCATTGCATTTACGTTCTACACCAGCTAGACATGGTTCCATAGGTACTTGGGGACAGAACATTTTTCCAGCCCTCCCCTTTTTTTCCAAAATCCTTTATATTTTTTTCTATTAATTAGCGGTCACTGTTATATATATTCATGAAAGTATTATATTGTATTGTCAATATAATACTTCCATGATTATATATAGTATATCAGCGACTGCTGTGGATAGTAAACTTGGAATTGATAGTAAATAGCAAATACAAGTTACTTGTATTATATTTATGTTTATATAATACAGAAAAACGCGAAAAATAATTGAAATTAATAGAAAACAAAAAAATAACGGATTTTGGAAAAAAAGGGGAGGGCTAAAAAAATTGTCCTTTCCCCAAGTACCTATGTATGGTTCGTGTTCAGTGACGTTATGTAGACACATTTGGGTTCCTGACACGTTTGAGAGAAAGGACAGGTTTCTAGATCTTTTATAAAAAAAGTGACATCATTAAAAAAATCGTCAATTGTATCACAAGCTGACCTCGATGAGGTATTAGTTATTGTATGCTTACAAAAATCACATATTCTAGGAATTCACTGTAATATATGTATATACTGTATACACTGTATAGATTTCAACATTATTTGTTTTCAAATACAAACTTGAATATCGGCGATTTTAAAGAAATAATGTTAACCTTAATGTAATTGTTGATTTAATTTGTAGCCAGAACTAATTATATTTTCCATTCGTGAAACTGTCTCCTCGGTCAAATAGAAAATTGGAAAAAATACATACAAGATTCTATTTTCAATCTTTTGTATTCTATATTTTAATGTATATGAATTGATTGTAATAATTAATGTTTGATCTTTTGTTTGTGTGTTAATTGAGGACAATCCAGATTTTGGATAGCATATATCAATAAAATCCTTGTCTGACTTTGACTTTCAAACTAATTGTTTGCTCTTTTTATTCTTTCCATGACTGATTATCAAATGATGCAGCAAAAATCGACGAACAATATAAACAGGAAACAAAATCTTATCAAAAGGCGGATAAGCTTTAGAAATAAAATTCCTTTGAACCAACTTTAAAGATTGTGACTTATGTGTGAAATAGCCGTGGAAGATTTGAAAGAATTACGTTTAGATAATCAAAGCGCGAAAGCGCTGTAAAGGCAGTTAATTACAGGTTGTGTGTATTTTTAGTCTAGTTATATCATTATCTTCCATAGTACATTGTACTTATCAGAGGTGGCTTTCAGTATTTAAGATTTAGAGTTCTCTAATGATATTGAACAAGTTTTATGAATGTCATATTCTGAGCACTATATGAAGGCGATTGTTCTCATTTGTTTATGAACTAGTGCATTATGTCCAGTTTGTACCTTTTTTATCTATGTTTATAGTCAAATACTGTTAAAAATAGTTTGGCATTTTCTTTTTAGTAATAAGTAAATGTTATCAACTGTATTTTATTCGACTTTGCAAATGTGGTTTGTTACTGGTAAGTACAATGTATGGGTGATAGTTGTTTCATTGGCAATCATGACACATCTCCTTATTTATATAATGATCTATATTCAACGACCTCAGGTACAAAAAAAATGTATGTAACTAAACTATGATGGGAAAACTTTGACTTCTTTCTTTTATATAAACTTTTGATTTGGTACCATAAAACTATGTAGAATAAATGTACATTGCAACATGTCAACTCTTTCAATGAAAATACTTTTTTTAGAAACTATAACTCCAAGCAAAATTATATTTCCAAGTATAAAGTAATTTATGAATGAAACAAGAGTGCACACGCTGAAATGTCTCGCCTTCTTTACTAATCATTGATATTATGTTGATAGCCCTAAATATAAAGCTTTATTACAACTGTCACATAAACTTAACATTAACCAAGTAAACTAAACATTGACCAATGAACCAAGAAAATGAGGTCAAGGTCAGATGAACCATGCTAGGTAGGCATGTACAGCTAACAATTCTTCCATACAACAAATATAGTTGACCTATTGCTTATAGTTTAAGAAAAACAGACCAAAACACAAAAACTTAAAACTGAGCAATGAACCTTGAAAATGAGGTCAAGGTAAAAATAAACCTGTATGACTGACAAATAGATCATGAAATATTTCCATACACCAAATATAGTTGAACTATTGCATATAGTATTAGAAAAAAAGACCAAAACTCAAAAACTTAACTTTGACCACTGAACCATGAAAATGAGGTCAAGGTCAGATGACGCCTGCCAGCTAAACATGTTCACCTTACAATCATTCCATACACCAAATATAGTAGACCTATTGCATACAGTATAAGAAAAACAGACCAAAACACAAAAACTTAACTATAACCACTGAACCATGAAAATGAGGTCAAGTTCAGATAACACTTGCCAGTTGGACAGTCCTTCCATACACCGAATATACTAGACCTATTGCTTATAGTATCTGAGATATGGACTTGACCACCAAAACTTAACCTTGTTCACTGATCCATGAAATGAGGTCAAGGTCAAGTGAAAACTGTCTGACGGGCATGAGGACCTTGCAAGGTACGCACATACCAAATATAGTTATCCTATTACTTATAATAAGAGAGAATTTAACATTACAAAAAATCTGAACTTTTTTTTCAAGCAGTCACTGAACCATGAAAATGAGGTCAAGGACATTGGACATTGACTGACGGAAACTTCGTAACATGAGGCATCCATATACAAAGTATGAAGCATCCAGACCTTCCACCTTCTAAAATATAAAGCTTTTAAGAAGTTAGCTAACGCCGCCACCGGATCACTATCCCTGTGTCGAGCTTTCTGCTACAAAAGTCGCAGGGTCGACAAAAAGGAGTTCTTAATTAAGAAATAAACTGATTCGCTGAGCGCAGCTGGATACACCTGCAGAGGTCCAACCCTGAACAGTTGGGGCAAAAATGGACACAATCTTCAAGCTTGATACAGGTCTGAATTTGGATTGTAATTAAATATTTGACATATTATAGTTTCTGAATAAATGTAGTCAAAGAACTTGAAATCGGTTATATGAATTGAATTTATATTCAATTAAAGATTTCTTGCTGTTGTGCAATACACTGTGCTGTTGCGCAATACTTAATAAAACTGTTGCCAGACTATAAACAAATAAAGTTCAATTTCTTCTCAATGTCATATTTGAAATTTATGAAAATCAATAGGGAGATTACATCAATAGCTATAAATAATTCACCAAAGTTTCATGCGAACTGCTTAAAGCATTTTTGAGTTGTTGTCCAAAAACTGGAAAATCCCCCCTTTTTTAATGAATAAAACCCCACAACTCAGAAATGTAAAATCTAAAATTTATAAAATTCTAAAGGGAGCTTACGGATTGATAATTTAGTCTTAGATGCAAGATTTTTTTATCAGTTGTTAGTGGCTTTGAACTAGCTGTCAGTAAATGCAAGTACTCTCAGATCTGTACTTAGTGTCTTTTAGTTGTTTGGATGTACAACTACCCGGCCACGTCCACTTGTATTTGTATTTATCCATCTGATGAGTTAAGCCTCTTTCAACTGATTTTTATAGTTCGTTCTTATATTGTACTGTTACACCACTGTCCCAGGTTAGGGGGTGGGTTGGGATCCCGCTAACATGTTTAACCCTGCCACATTCTGTATGTACATTTGTACATGTATGTGCCTGTCCCAAGTCAGGAGCCTGTAATTCAGTGGTTGTCGTTTGTTTATGTGTTGCATATTTGTTATTCGTTCATTTTTTTTAGTTTTCTTGTTTGAATTGTTTTACATTGTCATTTCGGGGCCTTTTATAGCTCACTGTTCGGTATGTGCTTTGCTCATTGTTGAAGGACGTACTGTGACCTATAGCTGTTAATTTCTGTGTCATTTGGTCTCTTGTGGTCTCATTGGCAATCATACCACATCTTCTTTTTTATATTTACATCAACAGATATAAACAATTCACCAAAGTCAAACTTAGTTGTAAGATCTCTGAAATTTTTTACACGGTACAAGTTTTTCTAATTGTTGGAGATTGTACGGTGACAGTAACACCTGTAACTGCTTAACCCATTTCTTATGCACTTTGGTTCGATAAACTCACTGAATATCATACCACATCTCCTTATTTTTTTATGCATTACAATTTACATGTGCATGTACATGTAATTGTAAATAATATTTATATATATATATATCAGAACAAACTTCATTGCGTCACTTTTATTTATGCATCCTTTGGCACAATACAAGTTCTAAAATTACACAACATAAAACAACTAAATGTTATTTCAGATGAAAGTTTTGTTTCAGTTCCACTCATAGGATTTATTAGAATTTTGTATGTTTTGCCAAGTCCAATAATTAGCTCTATGTAATGTATGTGCACGTGTTAATTGGAGACTTTTCTATCCTGTATAAGAGTTTTGGAACTAATTCTGTTTCTTTTTTTGAAAAAAGTGAGCAAACAAATCTTGCACATTTAAACCTTTGTCTGCCATCACACTGTCACCTGGATCACATAATTGAACTACACATGTATTCTACATCTTTCAACTATTTCACAGTCACTGGTACAACCAACATATGCATTAGAGACATACATTTTTGTAGTTGACTAAACCACCAGGTGTCGAACATACAAGTATTTTCAGTGTTTCTGTTTTTATATGATGAAAAGGTTGCCTGAGCTCTAGGAGCTTTATGTTTTATCACGGGATATTCTGTGCTGTCAATAATAATCCAAGTTGTAGGAAACTTTAATTTGAAGTTGGATGGCGAAAAATATCTGACTAAACCACTAAATGGCCAAGTGTTAGCCTCACGCCACTGTTTAGACATAAAAACAATCCATGTTTACACAATATTCTTAACACTAGTTTCAATCTAGAATCTAGACAGTTCAAAGTTGGTTGTATAATGCCTCAATTTCATCAAAGTCATAAAAAAAATGATTTTCAAATGACACCCTATCAATTTGAAAATATATGTATCTCAAACAATGTGCTGCTGGACCAAGTGTGGTCAAAACAAATAAAAATTTAGTATTCAACTCTAAACTGGTATAAAAATGTATGGCTGTGTCACGTGTCTTCATTTCAAAATTCTCTGCTGAAAATATAGGCATTGATGGTGTTTGCGTAATTCCATCTGTGAAGCTCAACATTAGCTCGGCAGTTGGTGGTGGACAGTCATAAATCCTGTCTGCAGTATGAATGACTTCTTCAGGAAAACCAACTTTACAATCAAAACTTTCCTCTAGATTTCTATTACAATATTCATCAAGTTTAGTTCTTTTGTTTTCACAGGAAACTGCCCTGATTTTTCTTTTTGCGGACGATTCAGTCTCTTGCTTGATCCAGGAAAATAGGCTGGGAATGGCAGTAGACTGAAGTCTCTGTATGGAGGGTTTACGCTCTGAAAAAGGTTATAAAACATTAGTTTTTTGATAATTAAATGAACTTCCATTAGCAATGCATACTTTGTACTACCTGGCAAAATATTAACTAGATTTATTCATTACAATCTGGATAAAACTATGTTAGCCTGATTCAATGTACATCAAAATGTATGTTATGTAAATCCAAAGGACAAACAATGAGAGACGTATGCAACAAACATACATTGTTTGTACCTAAATAACTATAATATAGATGAGAGCATGTCATTGTTTTGTTCCTGTTAACATTGTCATTGATATTTTTCAAGAAAGTCTATGAGGCATAGCTTATGCATTCCTGTCATTACTACATTAGCATAATTACTGCTAAAATAATTCTCAGTATGATATACCTCTTGTAAGAAATCATTATAATTGTAGCAAGCACCAAAAAATCTCAAACAGATCACATTGAATCGTAATCCAAAAAATTATGACGTCTTGATCAATTAACCACCCCCTTTTATTCTAAAACGATACTTGCGGTTGTAAACAGACTTTGGTTTATTCGCATGGCGATTACATATATAACTATATATTTTAAAAAGAAAATAGAGTTTTACCATGAATAGTTTCCTGCACGTAGTCTTTTTCAGTAAAATGTGCCTTGCAAACAACAGCTGATTGAGATGGACTCCACCGTGTTCTCGTCCAATCTGCGTATGGGCCATGGCGTTGATCCAACTTTTCCTTCTTTATAAGTCATTTGGAAATGCATGTCCTCCTCTTAAATGACATCCAGGTACACAACAACAAGTACTTGGCATCGTTAATTAAAAATGCAACTGAAATAGTTGCACAGTGCAGAAACCGGAAGTTGAAGAACAGGATCGGCTACCACGGCGCCACCTATTCAGGAACGATAATTTGCTACTTTATATAACTGCGAAATAACAATAACGTTACATGTTAGACGGGTTCGCGTGCATAACCAGAAATGCGCTTTAAATTGTATAATATAATTCATGTTCAGTCGACCTTTAATTATTATATCAACGACTGAAATGATTTATAAACATCTAAATCATCTGTTAACGCAGATAACACTCGAAATTAACCCGACCTCTTTACACACGGAATTCAAATAATTCTAGTTTGTCAATCGGTTGACTGCTTATAATGTAAAATACAAATATATCAAAAGTTTTTAAAACTAACAAAACACAATGATCGTTTCTCTATTTCCCAATGTAAATGAAATGAAACAAAAAACATTTTGTATCACAATAAGAAGAGGAGAGAATCAACATTTTCCGGATCTACTTGGAGCCTAATGACCCCCCACGTAGATAAGTTGGATATCGCGGAAAGAAAGATTAACACGGCAACTAGAAAGGCATTAAAGCACTGCCTTTAAAAATCGCACCAATCTGGTGAAGAACGTTCAATGATGAATAATTCTGTTTCAGCAATGTCGTGTCTTATTGTCAAAGATGGATGATAGAAACTTAATTGCATATAAACTATGACTATTCTTGTCTGGCAATGACTGGGAAAAATTACTTTGTCCAAGACAGTATGAAAATAAATATTCTGTCCAACAAAAATGAAGGAGAATGCTAAAAATAGCCGTTAACGTTAACAAATCAGCGCTAGAAATAACTTTAATTCTTCGGAGCTGTATTTTATTCCTCCTGTACTAGATTTCAAAACTTCAGCATTTGACTTTTACTTATCATTTCTTGAGTTTAAGATATCTTAAATGTCTTGGGCGCACGATTTTTAATCTTCAACACATGACTTTAAATTTCCAAAGAAGTTCCGCCTTTTTTTGACATCCAATTATGTGCTATTCTCGAAGGGGAATATTTTTAAATGAATTAATAATCTAGTCTTGCAATAAATGAAAATGAAAACTCTTTTCCCAAACTATAGGACAATACAGTGTATGAAAGAGAATGAAAATAAAACCGTCTTAACAAAAGATAATAACATAAAAAGGTAATAATAATTATATTGGCCAAATAAACGATTGCTCTACAAAAAAAAACTAAAAAAGATGTAGAAAATGTATCACAACTTTTATATGGACAAAACTATTGCTGTTTTCAATACACCTTCACGTCAGATTTTCATTCTTCGAATTTTTATATATAATGTAAAATAAGAATTAAATAATTCCTATATATGAACAAAGAAAAAATTCAACAGATAACATATGACGTAGCCTTAAGAGCCAATCTGCCAGAAAACCATGCAAAACCGTCCGAATGTCACTTTTTCCAAATGAGTTCATATTTGGCATATTGGTGCACCTTAGTAATGTAAATAACCACACAAATTTTTTTGGGAAAATATTAAACCGATCTGGATATTTTTTGAGCGCCATGTTTCAACAGATGAAATGGCTAGAAAATAGCAAAAATAAGCCTTTTTTGGCATATTTCGCTGGTTTAAATAAAAAAATATGGTAACATTTATAATTTTTTGATAGTTGTTCCTAGTAATACATCACTTTAAGTGTAAGAATGCATAGAATTAACAATGCTGTCTATTAAGTGTATGTATAATCTAACTGTTTCAATATGTCTTTATGTCCAAAATGGCTGATTTTGGTCATCTTTCAGAGCCAAAATACTCCAAGACCCGTTTGTTATTGTAAAACAACATATCTACTTGCAAAGTATAACTATATATACCCAATCAAAAAAAATATCAAGCTCGGCAAATAATGTTGGTGTCTGGTATATGCCACAACAAAATGGGGTAACCTGCATATTCAAATTTTCTCAATTTTGCCGTCTAATTTGTAACTACTGACATATGATAGGATCTGGACTTATAAATAAGTATAACAACAAATGGAAAAGAATAATTAATGTTTCATTTAATACATTAAGAAAATAATCATACATAAATACAAATTATTCATTATAAATCTAGAGGCTCCCAGGAGCTGAAATAGATCGTATTGACAAATTGTGCACCTAAAACAATAAAAAACACATATTTCAAACGCAATCAATTTAAATTAGAAGTTAAACAATTCAGAACAAGTTTAGACTGTAAAAAAAAAGTTTCTTCTGACCACTTTTGCAATTTATTCTTATAATATATTGATATAGTTGATATAGTTGATATGTTGCTGCAATGTGGTCAATACAAACATGAAAATCATGAATGCTTCTAAAATTAAAGAACCTTAGTGAGCGCGCTCACATACCCCACGTCCCCACATTGTCATTGGAGAAATAAAATAAGTGTAAGAAAAAAAAATTGTATCAGAAAAAAAAATTGAATCATAATTTCCTGTCAATATGCACATCGACGTAGTATGTCCTTATTATCTACACAGTTTCATGAAATTCTGTTGTGTGGTTTGAGAGGAGTTGCGATGACAAAGGGTTGCAGTAGTATATTGGGCAAATAAGTTCAAAGGGGCGTAATTCCTGGAAAAAAAATTGAATCGTAATTTCCTGTCGATATGCACATCAACGTAGTATGTCCTTATTACCTGAAAAGGTTTCATGAAATTCTGTTGTGTGGTTTGAGAGGAGTTGCGATGACAAAAGGTTGCCTTAGTATATTGGGCAAATAAGTTCAAAGGGGCGTAACTCCTGGAAAAACAATTGAATCGTAATTTCCTGTCGATATGCACATCTACGTAGTATGTCCTTATTATCTGAAAAGGTTTCATGAAATTCTGTTGTGTGGTTTGAGAGGAGTTGCGATGACAAACTGTTGCAGTAGTACATTAAAGTAAATAAGTTCAAAGGGGCGTAACTCCTAGAAAAAGAATTGAATAGTAATTTCCTGTCTATATGCACAACTACATAGTATGTCCTTATTATCTAAAAAGGTTTCGTGAAATTCTGTTGTGTGGTTTGAGAGGAGTTGCAATGACAAGAAACAGGACTGACGGATGGACGGACAGACGGACGGACGGGTCAAAAACATTATACCCTCCGCAACTCGTTGCGTGGGGTATAAAAAAATACCATAACTAGACGAAAAACAAATTACTTAGTCAATATATACCAGTGCAAAATTTATAAAGAATTTTGAATGAAATTGGATAGCTGTTAAGATTACTGTACCTATAATGCTCTACATCACATCCTCGGAGATAACAGAATTAAAATAAGTCATATGAATCTTCCAATTTCAATAAAGTTGAATTTGTTTTTTTATACTTGAACAGCTATAGGTTTTACTATAAAACAAGTGTACATTAACTTTCTTGTAAAAGAAAAACCATAACATTAAAATCTCCATAAATGATGAACTGTTATTTTTTGAGACATCATCCCATGGAAGATTTAACTGATGTTTTAAAGTTGGAAAGTTTCTGTTGCTTGTTTGGTTGGTTGAAATTGTTTCTGTTAGAAGCATTATCAGTCTCCCAATCTGATGTTGACTGATGTGAAAGTTCAGTTGTTGTTGACACTGACAGAAAGGTTAGCTGCGAGTCTAGATCTGAAAACCACAAAACATACATACATAAATCAGGCTGTTAGTTTTCATATTTTTTCATTTTCTTATTTTGGGGCCTTTTATGGCTGAATATATATGCAGTATAGGTCTTGCTCATTGTTGAAGGCCATATGGCGTATGAAGACCTATAGCTTTACTTCTATGTCATTTGTTCTCATTGGCAATCATACCACATTTTTTTTTTATTTCATATATACCACTGACAGGAAATAAAATTGACAACTTTTACTGTAAGTGGATGCAGTTACAAAATTCTCCCAACTAAAGCCAAATCATTTTTGCAGAATAGTTATTATCCACACCTTTTAAGCATGTCCAAATAGCCCTTAACATCTTTACAACAATAATAAAATGCTCCGCAGGGCGCAGCTTGATACGACCGCAGAGGTCGAACCCTGAACAGTTGGGGCAAGTATGGACACAACATTCAAGCTTGATACAGCTCTGAATTTGGATTGTGATTAAATATTTGACACAGCATAGGTTCCTGACACATAATGAATGTGGTCTAAGAACTTAAAAATTCTAAATTGGACATTCACCTATTATGGTCCAATATCCAAAATCTAAATACATGGTTAGATTCAGCATATCAAAGAACCCCAAGAATTCAATTTTTGATGAAATCAAACAAAGTTTAATTTTGGACCCTTTTGACCTCAATGTGGACAAAGTTGATAACGGGGCCCAAAAATCAAAAATCTAAATACATGGTAAGATTCAGCATATCAAAGAACCCCATATATTCAATTTTTGTTGAAATCAAACAAAGTTTAATTTTGGACCCCGATTTGGACCAACTTGAAAACTGGGCCCATAATCAAAAATCTAAATACATGTTTAGATTCAGCATATCAAAGAACCCTTAGAATTCAATTTTTGTTAAAATCAAACTTAGTTTAATTTTGGACCCTTTGGACCTTAATGTAGACCAATTTGAAAACGGAACCAAAAATCAAGAATCTAAATACATGGTTAGATTCGGCATATCAAAGAACCCCAATAATTCAATTTTTGATGAAATCAAACAAAGTTTAATTTTGGACCCTTTGGACCTCAATGTGGACCAATTTAAAAAACGGGGCCTCAAATCAAAAAACTTAATACACGGTTAGATACAGCATATTAAAGAACCCCAAGAATTCAAAAATAAAACCCCATTGAAATTGGTCAAGAAATAAGCAATTTATACGAAGTATCTTTTTTTGCACAATACTGTGCAATTGAATATTTCTTGCTATTGCGCAATACTGTACAATTGACAATTTCTTGCTATTGTGCAATATTGTGCTAATGGATATTTCTTGCTATTGCGCAATACTGTGCAAAGAATAGGTTTCTAACACAGAATAAATATGGTATAAAGATAAAGTTTAATAGATTCAGCATATCAGAGAACCCCAAGATCAAATTAAGATTTAAAATTTAGTTTAATTTTGGAACCTTTGGACCTCAATGTAAACCAATTTCATAATAGGGCCCAAAA